CTCTGTAACAAACCTGAAAATGAATATAATTAATAAATTACAGAGAAATAATTCAAAAAATAGATACTTTGCCTGAAAAGAATTTATTTTATACATTTTTATCAGCAGTACAGTGAAAATAAATGTTGAAACTTTATAAAATTAGTCACTTTTATATAAATTTGGACAATCTTTAAAATTTATACATATGAGTGCATGCAATAAAAAAATTAATAAAAAGCATAAGTTATCAATTCCTTCCTCTTTAACTTTTAAATGAAACAGTTTATAGAAATTATTGTAGAGTACAAGTATAGGTAGTGTTTATGGGGTTACATCAGTTGTAATGGCACTAAGTTATCAGTTTGGTACAAGAGTCACCAGTTCCACTTTCAGTGCTAAAAACCACTATGCGACATGTACATCCTAGAAGCCAGGTACTAAATGATTCATCCATACAAGATGAATTTTCTGGTATTCTGAACCACTAAAAGGGGTTTAATATATTTACAGTATATTTAATATTTTTGAACATATTTAAATCAGGTAAGCATAAATATTAAAAAAAAAATTTTTAAATCAGATAAGCATAAGTATTAAAAGAAAACATTTTTAAATCAGGTAAGCATAAATTTAAAAAAAAACAAACATTTTTAAATAAAAGTTATAAATAAATATTTAAAAACATTTTTAAATCAGGTAAGCATAAATGTTAAAAAAAAAACATTTTTTAAATCAGGTAAGCATAAGTATTAAAAAAAAACATTTTTAAATCAGGTAAGCATAAATTTAAAAAAAAAAAACATTTTTAAATCAGGTAAGCATAAATATTTAAAAAACATTTTTAAATCGGGTAAGCATAAATATTTAAAAACATTTTTAAATCGGGTAAGCATAAATATTTAAAAACATTTTTAAATCAGGTAAGCATAAATATTAAAAAAAAAACATTTTTTAAATCAGGTAAGCACAAATAATAAAAATATAACATTTTTAAAATATTTTCAAAAATTGATTAAATTATCTGAAAATTTTATTTGGACATAATTTTTTATTTTAGATACGTTAAGTCTGCAATGTATTTTAACATAAAACTGAAAAGTTCCTCCCCAAAGTTTATATTGGAATTTTAATTTTTTCAGATTGCACATCATTAACACTCATAAGATAATAAAAATGACTTCTTTTGAACAATTCCTTTATTGTTAGCTCTGACTATAAACTTGATGATTCTAATTTTACATTCAATTCCAAATCCAGATTTTAATTCAATTAAAAAAAAAATGATTTTCATTCTAATTCATGTTTAGGTATCAATTGTTGCTGGAACTTTCAAAAATATTTTAAAAACTTTTCAGAATTTTTCTGCTACTTTCTGCTTGTAAACTTTTCATGTAGTGAACAATTATATCAAAGATATAGCTTTGTACAACAGAAATGTTCTATTTTAACAAAGAAAGATCAAATTATATTTCAATAAAAAGGACTTTATTTTCATCTAAATATATATTTTAATTATTGGAAAGGATCGCGATAACAGTTGCCTGAGGATGCACCCCCCACCCATTGCACTGGAGAGTTGGAATCAGTAGTTATACTGATGCCAGCACAACTTGACAATTGCAGGGGCTGGGCAATTTTTGTCCTTGGCCCAAGTGTACATATTTGGGTTCCCCCATATAAAACCCAACTTTGTGTCACATCTTGTCTCAATGAGGAGACCAAAGTAAATAAACATTAACAATCACAATTAGAACCAACAGATTGTTTTCAGTAAACATATCAGTTTCTTCTTTTGTAATGCTATTTCTGATTATCTGTACATTTACATGGCAAATATTTATCATATTTTTCACCTTTTCATATCACAGCTAAATAACAAGAAGTAGTCATCATTGGCTGAAAGCGATCAAATTGTTCTTATACTAAAATTAGTAAAATGATAGGAAACATTAGGAGCAGGAAAATTGTCTTCTGCTGATCTTCCAGTTGGCAAAGGTTTAATGGCCTTGAAAATTGTCATCTGCTAATCTTCCAGTTGGCAAAGGTTTAATGGCCTTGAAAATTGTCATCTGCTAATCTTCCAGTTGGCAAAGGTTTAATGGCCTTGAAAATTGTCTTCTGCTGATCTTCCAGTTGGCAAAGGTTTAATGGCCTTGAAAATTGTCTTCTGCTGATCTTCCAGTTGGCAAAGGTTTAATGGCCTTGAAAATTGTCTTCTGCTGATCTTCCAGTTGGCAAAGGTTTAATGGCCTTGAAAATTGTCTTCTGCTGATCTTCCAGTTGGCAAAGGTTTAATGGCCTTGAAAATTGTCTTCTGCTGATCTTCCAGTTGGCAAAGGTTTAATGGCCTTAAAAATTATCTTCTGCTAATCTTCCAGTTGGCAAAGGTTTAATGGCCTTGAAAATCAGTATTTGAAATTTCTAGCTTTTTATCTAGACTTGAAGACCAAACACTGGCACCAGCAGAAAATAAGCACTTCCCTCAGCCACCAAAAGACAGAGTCGTTTACAAAGTTGAGTTTAATGCAGTACAAGTGGCAGATTAGGAAGACTGTTGAGCTAATCTGTTATTTGAGGAAAGTATTAATTGAAAAAGAAAAAAGAGCATTTAAAATTTGGGAGTTTAACTGGGTTTTGTATTTTTGGAAGAATTGCAGCCACCTCATCTACCAAAGCAGACTTCTATTTTTCTGTTTAAAATTCAATAATACTTAAATTCCTTACATCTTCATACAATTTTTTTTTAATCATTTCACCTCAAGCAAGGAAATAAAGCTACTAAGACAAAAGGGGTTACTGAGTGTAAAAGAATATGAGAAAAATTATTAAGGAGAGAGAACAATAAAAGAACAGGAATTAAGATGGAAGATAATGATTGACATTGCATTTAAATTTTTAAAGATCAAAATTGACTGAGAAGCAAGAAGCTGGAAGTGAGTTCCACAAGTGAGAAGTGCAAGAGAAGAAACTGTTAACATCGAATTTATGGTTACATCTAGTGTTTTCAACTGTAAAATGATGAAACCTAGTTGCCAATCTAGTACTGCACTTAAATTCATAAAGTTTACGTACTATAGAGGAAAGTTTATCTGAACAAATACCATGAAAATATTTATAGAAAAGGCACAGGAAAGCTATATTATTGCAGTGGGAAAGTGAATTATCTATTTTAAATTTTTACCTCACCATTCATAGAATTTGTAATCTTTGAAAATTATTTTTATTTTGAGTCATTAAAAAAAAATGTTTAGATTGAATCAGTTTCATTATTATTTTTTAGAATAACATGATTGATCCACTCTTTAAATGTTAAAATAAATTGCATGAAATTGGAAATAAAGAAATAGCTTCTAGCAGAACCTGAACTCCCATCACACATGTTCAGAGCCTGTCTTCTATAACCATCCTCATAAACACTTCATCTACAGAAGCCCAATTTCATTAAGCTTGGCCCAAATCTGTTATCATTCTGCAACCATTTATTTGTCAATTCTTTTACTCTATTTCTTCCAGTTATATTTTACTATCTAGCAGTGTCAAAGTGTTGTAACCTAAGGAATGTTATGAACGATAATACTTAGGACAAGAACAATGCATATAAGATTCACCAGCAGTGCGTAGAAGTATTCCACTGCTAGAAGTGAGTCAAGTGAATTCCACAATGAACTGCAGGATATCTACTAACTGCCCCACATGATGAGATGTGGCACAAGGCCGAATTTAATGTGGGGTATCCGAACCTGTAAGCTTGGCCAAAAATTCCCTGTAGACCCTGTATAAAATGGGGTCGAGTAGTTGTTTCCCAAGAAGAGACTCTGCCCTTTGACATAGCCTTGTCTGAGGATCCTCTCTGCCTAGAGCCAGAGAGTTTGACCAGCACAGCTGGAGACAAATCTCCAACTGCAGACCAACATACAGTATTTACTACTGTATTTATGTGAATGGGGACATATCCATTGTCGTCCATGGGTATACCTCAACAAATTGTCATTTTGGAAACATTTTTAGATGAAGCATTTTCAATTATGATGTCTCTTTGAATTCTGATTTGCTGTATTGGTTGAAGAGTTAGAAAGAAGCGCTGAAAAGTTCTCAGCCTTGAATGACATTCCAAAGTCAAACCAAATGACCAACATCAGAATTTTTTATTTTAAGTAATTCTTGTTTAGTCAGAATCTTTTAGCACCAATATATATATATATTTTTGTATGTAATGCTTCACAAAGAGTCCAGATTCTCTGATTCTAGTACAGTGCTTCCCAAATGGTGCTGTGCACCTCATATGTGTAGCAGAAGAGGATGATAGGTGAGGTGGAATGATCGAAATACAATTAAAGATTTAGAAACAGTTTCAAAAAATTCATATGCCAAAAATAATTATGATTTGAAAATTTTTAAATATTATTATGAATCACTTGTAATTCCATGCATGAGTCCCAGTATAAATAGTTATAAATAATTGACTGATTTTATCATTGTCATATTTATGCATTATATTAAGAATATAGTAACTAGGGTCTGCAAATTGGAGGAGAGAATTATCAATGATAATGATCTGACTTTGAATCCGCGGTTATCTCCCTTTGACTCTCTATATGATTTTTATTTTCAAATGTACTTGTTATCGCATAGAATTTGGTGAGCCATGAGTAAATTTTCATTTCAAAAATGCCTCCCAGAAAGAAAATGTTTGGAAACCTCTGTCCTACTATATACACACTGTACTTTGATCATAGGCAGAAGGTGAGTGTGCAATACTTTGAGCTGAGATAGTGCATATAGATGATACTCAGTTCCTAGGTAGAACTGCCAAACTACACATAAATAAAGCCATCATTTTTTATGGGCATTATGCTAATAGTAATAATAAAGATTTAAACTAGAGGTGTAAAAAAGTGACAATAATAATGTAAGACTTGCAGAATTTGATATTAAACTTCAAGTTTTGATGTAAATATATTGATTAAAAAAAATCTCTTTTTATTCATTAAATTATCATTTGTTTTATTTCTTTACAGCGAAGTGAGGCTGACAGTTTCACCTCTCATGGTCATCTTAGCACCAATGAGCACAATGGAGACAGTGGTTATGAAGCAAGCTCAAAGCCAGAGGGGGAGGATGAAAATACCGCAGACAACACTGCAGACACCATCTCACCAGACACTCCTGAGCAAAAGACCAATATCTATGATGTGAACTGCATAACAGATGACCAGGAAATTCCTGTGGAACTAACAAACTCAAAACAGAAACTTCTACAGACTTCTGAACTGTCCGTCTGAAGCAGTATCTTACAGCTGTTCCAGGAGATGCAACCAAACGACACTTGTCTGTTCAAATTAGTTGTTTTATGCTGAGCCTTGGTACAAGTAATAATGTGGTGGAAATTATTTTTGTTAAAAAAAAAAGAAAAACACAGAAAAAGCTAGGGTGGGAAAACAAAAAAAATATGCTCAAAAGAATAATACATCCCCATGATGTTGGGTGTATACTGTAACTTTTATAATTACTACTATTACTACTACTACTACACTTGTATTTAAAAAAATGGCTTTGACCATGTGACATTTACTAATTTCTTTTTTTTTCTATTTTTCTTTATGATATATATATATATATATATATATATATATATATATATCTTTTTTTTTTCAACTCTTCTATTTTGGGATGGGGGTGGGAAGCTAACAAGGTGGTTGAAAATCAAACCGTTTGGGGACCCCACCCACACTGATACAACATTGTTTCTATATGTAAGCACATTATAGTGCAAAAACCTGCCTCCCCCACCGCCCACCACTGATGCCACCAGTCTCCCACCTGACAATGACAACAGATGAGAATTCAATTATTTGCTACGTTATTGTTTTTGCCACCACCACCACCACCACTACTGCTGCTTCTACTACTATTACCATGGCATCTTTGGTTTTCATGTGGACTCACTATCTAAAAGCAGCAACCATTCTGGTATGACCTTTGCTTTGTTTTCTCTGCTGTGCTCTCTATTAAGCCACCTGCCAAGATTGGATTGTGTGCCTGTTGGTGCAAATGGATGCACATAAGTGTGCATCTTCTTTTCTTGTTTGTTTCTTTAAAAAAATCCAAACCACAAAAATAAGGAGGATTGATTTGATTTTTTTTTTTTTTTTTTTTTAACTACTTTGACTAAAAAGTTTTCCTTCAGAAAAGCAAGTTCTGGTGTTTAAAAAAATGATTAATTAAAAGCAAAAAAGAATTTCCAAAAACAATATAACCAAGAAATGAAAGAAAATTGACTTTTTTAAAATTTTTTTTTTTTTTTTTTTTTAACTGTATTGACTGAATTTTTTTTCTTTCAGAGAAACAAGTTCTAGTGTTAAAAAAAATTGGAAATATTAAAAAAATTAGCAAAATATGGGGTGGCAGGGAACACTAAAGCATAACTAGAAATAAATACTGGATGTTCAGTTGTATATATATATATATATATATATATATATATATATATATATAATATTTTATTTTTAAAAATGAATTTTCAACACCCCCCCCCATTTTTTTTTTTTTTCTCCGGAAATTTTTCATTGAAATTTGCGTTGTAATTCTTTGTTGCTTTTCAATTATTTTCATAAATTTTTCTTTTTCATTTTTCCTTTTCTCTGAAATGATTTTAAAGGTAGGGAAGTATTATATATATATATATATATATATATATATATATATATATATATATAGCTTCTTATCTTCTATGGATGGTAACAAAGCAAACAAGGATAGCAGCTGCAAACCAAAACTTCAGCATCAAATGGCAACTAGCTCATGTCAAAGTTGTTAATTCTTTCTTCATTTGCATTTTTTATGCAGATTGATACAGCCAAAAAGTTTCAGCTACAATTGCTCATTATTATTATTATTATTATTATAAAATTGCTGATTTAGAAATATTATAAATGCAATATTAAAAATCATTTAATTGTATTTTACATTTCAACTTCAAAACCTATGTAAGATAATGTTAACACACCCAACATCACATTCTGGTTCCTTTCTATTGCTTTTCTTTGCCCTCTCCCATTACTCACTCTTCTCTCTCTCTTTACTTCTCCTTTTTCTCTCTCTTTGCTTCTCTTATTTCTCTTTCTTTGCTCCTTCTATTTCTCTCTCTTCTCTCTGTCTCCTCCTATTTCTTTGCCAACTCACATTTCTCTGTTTTCTTTTTCTTCCAATACAATCTTTATTTTCTTCATACCTTTTTTTTATCACATGGTTTATTCTTTTCCATCTATTCAAAAAGGAAATAGTGCTTGTCAGCCATGTTTTTTATTCCTAACTTTAAGGAACTCACTTTTGTTAATGAGGTTTTGTTTTTCTTCAAGTTGATTATACTTTTTCAAATTCAGTAGGCTGATATAAAATACCAAAACTTTAACTATTTAATTCTCTGTAATTACAACTTAAAAACTAAACAGTACCTTAAAAATATTAGAAAATGGTGTCAATATTTTAATGATTCCATGTATCACTGTTAAAAACTTGTGTTTATTTGGGTTTTTTTTTTAAGTCACATTATAAATTTAACAGTTTTTCTGATTCTGAAAAAGATTTACTTTTTTTAATCAGAAGTATTCATGTAAAATAAACTCACAAAGTTGCAATCTTTATGAGATTAGTTTGAGAAAACAGAAACAATGTTATTCCTCTTTGCTATGTCATTGTCACAACGATAATCTAGGTAAGTTCTGATGTCACAAGTTAAATTCTCCTAATTAAAAATGTAGCAAGCTTCCAATTATAATTCTCTCTCTTTCATCATGCTAATATTTCCCAAAGTTACTTGACTGAAATATAAAATAAAACGTTTTTGATGCTTGTTAATCTACAATGATTCTCTCACAGGATATTGTAAGTATGATCTTTACTTAATGTTCCAATATTTTAGCCTTGAACTAAACTAAGGTAAATTTAGTAAATTACCTAAAGATACTCGCTGCAGGGCAATGATTCATCCTACAGACTATTATTTGTGAGTTTCAGACTTACTGTGTGGTATTTGTTGGAGTTTTGTATGCCAAATTAGGCTAAATGTAGCAAATATTTACCTTTTTAAAAAAGTCAAATCCTTTAGATTTTAGTTTGAAACCAACTAGCCTATTTGGTCAAACTTTTAAGGGACACAGATTTCAAAACTATAGAGTAACTGACTCAATATTAACAGAACTTCCCTAATCCTCTCACATTACTGTTAAAACCTTCAGGGTTTGAGGAATTTTATTATATTGAAAAAAATCTTACAGATTACTTTTATTTTGGGATTTTTTTTTTTATATATATATATATATATATATATATATATATATATATATATATATATATATATATATATATATTTTAAATTGTTTTCTTTTGGAGAATTCAGCAAGAAAATTTTTCACTTGTATTGTTGTTAGCACAGTTTACCTACAACAAACATACACACACATATATATATATATATATATATATATATATATATATATAAGTACAGGTAATCGATCTATTGGTATATAATCCAGGTGGATCCTAGTAATATTAATTATTAAAACTGATTCACAGAGAGCTCAATGTATTTATTATAACAGAGCATATGCAGGGGTTTAGGGGGGTGATGACAGCCGCGTACAGAACAACTTGAAATAGACTATCCTCTATGTTAAGGATATGTTTGTTTTTTGTTGTAAAAAATATATATATATATATATATATATATATATATATATATATATATATATATATATATATATATATAAAATTGTGATCTACTTAGTGGTTGAGATATCTGAATGTTTTTGTCACCAACGCTATCAGATAAAAGCCCAGATAACATATATTGATTTTAAGATAGGCAGGCCTTCACAACTTGTGGGTTTGAAGCAACATGATCTTCCTCTCTCTCTCTCTCTCTCCATTTCTCCATTTGACCTTGTAGTATAATATATATATATATATATATATATATATATATATATATATATATATATATATTATAATTAATATAAGCTTAATATAATAAGTATATATAAGAAACCTATATAAGTAGTTACCGGATTCCTTATTCTCTATCTCTTTTTTTTTTTGTTCCCTTTCTCGTTTGCTCTCTTAGATTTTCTCTCTCTCTCTCTTTTTGTTCCCTTTCTCCTTTGCTCTCTTAGATTTTCTCTCTCTCTCTCTCTTTCCCTTTCTCCTTTGCTCTCTTAGATTTCTCTCTCTCTTTTTTTTTTGTTGTTCCTTTTCTCCTTTGCTCTCTTAGATTTCTCTCTCTCTTTCTTTTTTTTTTGTTCCCTTTCTCCTTTTCTCTCTTAGATTTCTTTCTCTCTTTTTTTTTTTGTTGTTCCCTTTCTCCTTTGCTCTCTTAGATTTCTCTATCTTTCTTTTTCCCTCTATTCATCCTGGTCTTCTTTATTCTTTTTCTCATGTGTATGGAACCAATTTTTAGTTAATAATTCTAACAAACTTCCAGATTTATGGATATAAACCTTTTCCCTTGGATATCTACAATGAAAGATCTTATCCTCTTTCCACTGAATATAAGTCTTAATGAAATATTTGTATCTTTGTTCTTTCTTGACTTTCTAACATCTACTATTTATATTGCTATCTGTATATCCATCCTTAGTAAGAGTGGCTAGATAAACGACCACTTGTTAGCAGGAATGGATAAAATCTCTTGAAGTTATTCTAAGACAGTTGATTCCTGGTCCCATTCTTGGTTTTAACTTAATGAGACTGATTGCTCAAGGCAATAATAAAAATGGGTGCTCCAGTATAGAGTGTGGGCATTGTAGTTGATACACTATATGTAGATGCCTGTTTGTCTATTGGTTGTAAGCCACTGTTTCTGTTGCAGACGTTAGAATCTCAGTATTAAACAACATGTTTATAAAGACTGTGTTTACCTGGTTCTAGTCACAAGATGGTGTCTATCATCATCATCCTCATACCTGGTTACAAACAGTTTGACCTGCCAGGTGTATAGCCCCATTGATAAGGGGAGGCAACCCACTTTCTGCCTCTTATCTTCCATCCATTATGTGTTTTTTTTTTTTTTTTTTTTTTAATTATTATTTATGTACATACTTAAGATTTCTATCTATATTAACTAATTTTGCATTCCACATGTTTATTTTCAGAAGTGATGCCAAAAGTGAAGAAACAAATCTTTTATGCCTAATCCAAACTAGACACACATGAATATGTTTGTTATTTTTCAAGGTGAAAGAAATGTTTTCAAGGTGGAAGAAATGTTTTTCTCCGTTTTAAGATG